GCTGTTTTCCAAGGCAATAGCAGTGAGCTGGATCAGAAGTGGAGCAGCCAGGACATGAATCAGCACTCATATGGGATGCTAGGGAAGCAGGCGGCGGCTTTACCCGCTATGCCACAGCACTGGCCCTGATGAATGGCTTTTGATAGGCTAAAATGGAATGCACGTTTTTATTGGTAAAAATTTTCTTTCACACACACATACAGTGATACACACTTCCTGTTTTGGCTGCTGAGAATTCTGTAAATCATTAAACCAGTATAATGTAGTTTTTAAATTAATCAAAAATCTCAGTTTAAAGATTATTATGCTGGAATACCAACATTAATAACTTCACAAATAAAAGATTTGGGGTTAATCAGTAATTTTATCTAAAGTGCTTTATGGCATATACATACTATGAATACTACTCAGCCATAAAAAAAGGATGAAATCTTATATTTTGTAATGAAACTGATGCAAGTGGAAAACATTATACTTAGTGAAATAAGTCAGTACCAAAAGACAAAAACCATGTTTTCCTTGATCTGTGGTAACCATTAGGGCACCAAAAATGCAATGAATAGGAGTGAAATTGGCATTCTGAGCTTTGATGATTATACACAGCCCTGAAAGGTGTTTTCTCTTTTTTCTTCTCACTATTTGTTGAATTCTTTAATTGGTGTAGGGTTAATCTTATGAGTATAAAGTAAGGTAAACTAAAAGTAGATCAATGTAAAAATTAAGATGGGGGGCAGCATAGTGGCATAGTGGATTAAGCCACCACCTACAACTCCAGCATCCCATATGGGCTCCCTTTTGAGTCCCAGCTGTTCCACTCCCAAACCAGTTCTCTGATAACACACCTGGGAAAGCAGCAGAAGACGACCCAAGCTGAAGTCACAGATGAAGCTCTTGGCTCTTGACAGAGCCTTGGCTGTTGTGGCCGTTTTGGGAGTGAACTAGTGGATGGAAGATCGATCTCTCTCTTTCTGTTTATTTCTCTCTTTCAAATAAATAAAACTTAAAAAGTTAAGAGAGGGATTAGGAGGAGGAAGAGTGGGATTGTGGGTGGGAGTGAGAGTAGGGTAGGAAGTATCACTATGCTCCTAAATCTGAAATACATGAAATTTGTGTACTTTAAATAAAATTAAGAAAAAGAAAACAAACAAACAAACAAAAAAACCAGACTGAGAGTGCCTAATGTGAGCCTTCCGTTAAGGAGCTGTTATTTGATTATTCCAAAATTACATATACTTTCCTTTTAGTCAGGTTATTTTTTCTGGATTTATTTTTCCAACAGGGGCTAATTTCGTTTCACACAAGGTAACAAATAAGACTATTAAAGATAGTGAAAGAAAATACTTTTTGCATTATAGTTAAAGCAAAACACATAACAAAATTTACTGTATAAACCATTTTAAATGTACAATACAGTAATGTTATCCACATGTCTATTGTGCAACAAAGCTCTTGAACATTTTCATACTGCAGAACTGAACTCTATACTCAGAACAACAATCTCCTTTTCCCCTTCTCAGGATCTGGAACCATCATTCTACTTTGTGTTTCTAAGCATTGACTACTTTAGATAATTCATATAAGTGGATTAATGCAGTATCTGTGTCTTTGTGATTGGCTTATTTAATTTAGCATAAATATCCTTGGGAATCAACCAAACTGTATCATGAAACATGGTATCCTTTTTTAAAGGAAGAATAATAATTCTTAAGTATGCAAATACAACATTTTTGTTACCTTTTTTTTCCCATTAGGTTGCTTCCACTTTTGGCTATTATGGATAATGTTTCAATAATCACAGGTGCATAGACCTGTACAAATTCCATGTATCCCAACCAAATTTGATATATCTTGGGGCTTCTGTTGTCCCTTATATTGATCTAGAAAGAGTGAATGTGTGTCTAGAACTTGTTAAATATGAGTGTGTACTGTCTCACTAGACTCAGACTATTTGGCAACCACAGCACAGTGAATTTATTTCTCAAATATCATTGATGTACTTCAGACTTAGGAATTTCTATTCTTTCTTTTATAATATTTAATTTTGAAAACAGCATTAAGAATATATGATGGAAATCATAGTACTTGGCAAATAGTTGAATATTTATAAGTAATTTTAAATAATTCTATAAAAAATATTAATGGCAATGTTTTGTAGGTTGAGAGTGAGCTAGTAAACAGGTTTACACCAACACAGTTATGATGTGATCTTTTCCACAGTCTTGATTTTTGCAAACAATGCCTCTTGCAGGATTTCCATACCAATACTTTCACATTATGTTTCATATTCATAGTATCCTTTGACATATATTCATTATTTCATCTCTGCACACCATTGTGTATACCATTTCCTATTTTCTTCTCTCAAAAAAACCACACCTATTTCTTTATTGCCATTTACATAAAAATCAGATTGCTATACTTTTCTCAGATATCTATTTCTTTTGTGATTCCTTATTTTCACAATCTGCTATGCTTTATCTATCCAGGAACTTCACCCAGTTCAAGTAATACAACTGATTTAGAATGATTCCACCAGAGAGAGTGGAATTATTGTGTTATGCCTTACCTTAGTCACTCACTCTTATGGGCATGCGTAAAGTACTCATTACTAGTAATCTATAATTTCTTCTCTCATGAGCCACTCCTTACTTCCTAGATCCTTTTGTATTAGTTTTCCAGAAGTATTTTCACTGAATCAGACTTCCAATCTATTGAACCATTACAATAGTGCTCTCTTATCTGTGGCTTGGTTTTAAGAAGTTTCAGTTAATCTTAGTTAATAATAGTCTGAAACTATTGAGTAAAAAGCTCCATAATAAGCAGTTTCTACATTTTAAATGTGCACTGTTCTGAGAAGTGTGATGAAATCTCATGTCATCCCACTCCATCCTGTTCATGACATGAATTGTCCCTTTGTTCCAATTATCCATGCTATGGTTATCCATGCCACCTCTGCATTATTCACTTAATGGTCATCTGTCAGCAGATCAACTGTCACCATATCACACTGCTTTTGTCCTGGTTATCCAAACTTTACTAAATAATGGTCTCAGGTCCCAGAGTCTTGATATTGACAACAGGGATATGCTAGACATAACACATAAAGTACTCCCATAGAAGAAAAAAGCAAAAATTCTTGATTTAAAAAGGAAAGAAAAAAATCTGAGGTTACAAAATCTATGGTAAGAATAAATTTATCCATGGAATTATGAGGAAGGAAAAAGAAAATTTATTGACAGACCTCAAACTTCAAAAGTATCTGACAAGCGCTGAGCCAAGAAAAACACACTACATTATACGGCTTGGTACTATCTGATTTCCGATGATAACTGAGGGTAGAACTTAACTCATGGGGAATGAGGGAATGCTGTACTTCACCATCCATCACCACCAATCTCCTCTTGTTTCTCGGTAATCAGCTTCAATATGCGTTATATTTTCATTTAATCTTCTGAATACTCTCTCAAATCTCCAATTTCTTAATCTTTCTGTGACACTCCTTTACTGAGATCTAGGCATTATTACACCTAAATATTTGCCTCTTTCATATCCTCATGTTTGTGCATAGCATGTCATGGGAAATATTTAATTTTTGTGTCTATTACACACTGAGTTGATATTCACGGTATGAGGACTTCCTGGTAATTCTATTACATTTTATTGTTAAATGCAGTAAACCACTCTTTTGATAACTATGTTGTTAATTCAGTTTCTGCATAAAACAGACACCAAGACATAACTTGACCAGATTTATTAAGGACAGCACTCAGGAAAATAAATTTCTGCAAACTTGAGGGGCATTACAGAACCTAATGCAAGTCTAACTCCTAAAAGGATAGAGGGTGGCCCAGTAGGATACAAGATTTGGGGATAGGAACAATAACAGATTCAACGCAGTTCTGATGAGAAATCTTAAGCCAAACAGCCCAATTAGGGAAAGATCTCATCTTTCAGGACTAGACCTACATGGGTCAGCAGATGACATTAGTAGCAGCAAGAGGACAGTGGCCATACATGCAACCAAAACATTAAAAGACGTTAAAGTGGACCAGACAGAGTCAGTCAACTATACTACTTATAGTTTTTAGGGTCAAAATTTTATGGCCATAAGTACTCCCTGCCTTCTCCATCTTCTCTGAATCTGAAACCCTTACTTTCTCTTCAAACATAGCTTATGACAAAAGCCTTTGATGTTGCTGAGATGAAACACTTCATAAAGGTAAATTCATCCTCCTCCCACATAATCTACCAGTCTATCTGAAATAGGAATAAAATATAAATGTACCCATTCCCAATACTCTACAGTACTTGTCTTTGCCTGTGTGTAAGATCAATCTACTTGTGTTTTGCATTACATTTCTTCTGGTCCACTCTCACTAAACATCATTTTCTCTCTACCAGTTCTCATCAGTCTTGATATAGTTCCTGAAATTCCAACAATCTTTTAATAAATCAAAATAATAATGAGCAGTGAGATTCTTAACTTGTTTCTTCCTCAATTGCTCTCCGTCGATTTTTGGGTAATTTGTCTCCACATACATAATGATAACTGTTTCTTTCTCCCTCTAATTTTATTTTGAAGCAAGATTCACATTCTATACCACTATCTAAATCTTTTAAGTTTGCCAATGGTCTCTACTGTGTGTATTCAATTTCACCAATTCAGTTTTCATTTGAGTTGATCACTCCCTTTGAAATCCTTTCTTCTTTTGGTTACTGTAGTGTCTCATCTTCTCTCCTGACTCCCTTTCTCTTTCTTAGTCGCCTTCCCCTGATTTTTCTCTTCATTCACTTCTTGACTGTCACATAGCTTATCCCATACATATATTTTGCATCTGAACTCATTTACTTTATGTTTTTATGTTTCACCACTTTACATTAAAAAAGTTGATTCCAAGTTTATATTTTCTTTCAACTTTAACTTCGATCTTCAAACTCTTATTTAACTTGTCTAAATAACTTAATGCTTAACTACATCAGCAAAATTTCATTGCTCATACCTGGCCTCATGAATCCACTGGAGGAAATGGAATGGATCTCTTGCTAATGTTGGTACTACATGGTAATGCATCTACTCCACCAGAGGTAGATGCTTTGGCAATCTGATAGCAAAGAAAAGAAGCCATTAGTAATTTAAATAGTTATGCTTTTTCCAGTATAGATAGGTACAGATTTACTGTCAGCAGCTGTAAGGAAAACAACCAGAGTGAAGATTATTGAATCTCGAACTTTTCCTGCACCTACCCTCAGGAGCCTTGTTTGCAGTGGTCAGTTCTGACTTCACCACTTCAGTGAGGACCAGGCTTCTGAGGGGTAGGTAACATTATCTTAGGAAAACGTGTGAGTGTTTAAGGGATAAATATCCAATGCCCAAAGCTCATCAATGTAGATCAAGCAAATGTGTACATCACTTAACAAAACAACTCAAAAGTTTTTAGAAGCCAACTGTTAACAAATATGACAGGAAAATGTTGTGGCAGTCCATGACAGAGTGGATAATATTACATAAAACTTTCTTCAGTAAAACTGAGTCTAAGATATATGAAACAGAACACATAATACTAGAAAGACCTTCTTCTGGTAAACAAATGTAAAAGTAAGTCTGGGGTATAGAAAACTGTTTTGAATATTGAATGTTCATATTCAACTAGACTTTGTCCCTGCCCTGGTGCTGACAGGAACCTGTTCATGGAACACAGAGGGCTTGAACTATGGAGGCAGCAGTCAGAATTCTGGGATATTAAAGAAAGTAGAGGGTGCAGATCAACAGCAAGCAAAGACAGAATACAAGGCTGCATTTACACAAGGTAATATAGGTGAATCTTGGCACAGATTGACCTCATTAGTATCTCAGACTAACCTCCAAAAATCCTTCTGAGACAACTGGAATAAATAACATCCTAGAACCATGGTAACTAGAGCCACAGGAGAGAAAGTTTAAGTCCTTCCAAAGTTTTCATGTTAAGTTTTCATGAAAAGTAATGTGAAAGGAACCAGTGTTGTGCTGCAAGGGTTAAGCTACCACTTGCAATGCCAGCATACCATAACAGAGTGCCCATTGGAGTACCAGCTAATATGCTTCTGAACTACCTTCCTGATAATAAACTTAAATGGCAGTGGGAGATGTTGCAAGTATTCTGATACCAGACACTCCAGTGGAATGCCAGGATGGAGTTCCTGACACCTGACTCTTGGCTTTGACCTAGGCCAGCCCTGACTATTCTGGCCATTTGGGGATTTAAGATCTCTATCTCTAAGTATGATGTTTTCCAGATTCATCCATTCTGTTGCAAATGACCAGATTTCATTTTTTTTTTACCACTGTGAAGTATTCCATAGAGTACATATCCAATAATTTCTTTATCCAGTCTTCGGTTGATGGCATTTAGGTTGACTTTATGTCTTAGGTTTGGGAATTGAGCTGCAATAAACAAGGGGGTGCAGATAACTCTTTTGTTAACTGATTTATTTTCCGTGGGTAAGAAACCAGGAGTGGAATGGCTGGATCAAATGGTAGATCTATATTCAGAATTCTGAGATATCTTCATACAGTCTTTCATAGTGGATTTACCATTTTACAGCCCCACCAACAATGGATTAGGGTACCTTTTCCTCACATCCTCACCAGCATTTGTTGTTTGTTGATTTCAGTATGAAAGCCATTCTAACTGGGGTGAGGTGAAACGTCATTGTGGTTTTTATTTGCATTTCGTGATGACTAGTGATCCTGATGGTTAGCCATTTGGATTTCCTCTTTTGAAAAATGTCTGTTTCAGTCCTTGGCCCATTTCTTAACTGGGTTGTTTGTTTTGTTGTTGGGGAGTTTCTTGATCTCTTTGTATATTCTGGTTATTAATCTTTTATCAGTTGCATAATTTGCAAATAATTTCTCCCATTCTGTCGGTTGCCTCTTCACATTCCTCAGTGTTTCTTTTGCAGCACAGAAGCTTCTCAATTAGATGTAATCCCGTGTGTTAATTTTGGCTTTGATTATCTGTGCTTCAGGTGTCTTTCCCACGAGCTCATTTCCTGTGCCAATGTCTTGCAGAGTTTCCCCAATGTTCTCTAATAATTTGATGGTGTCAGGTTATGTATTTAGTTCTTGATCCATTTTGAGTGGATTTTTGTGGAAGGTGGAAGGTAGGGGTTTCGGTTCATACTTCTGCATATGGAGATCCAGTTTTTCGAACACCATTTGTTGAAGAGACTGTCCTTGCCCCAAGGATTGGTTTTAGTTCCTTGGTAAAATATAATTTGGTTATAGATGTTTGGAAAGGGACAAATACTGAATATTCTCCCTGATCTGCATTAACTAATGGAGCACCTAAAAAGAAACCTGTAGAAGTGGAATTGATACTTTGAGAAACAATAATTTGAAAAGCCCTTACTTGACTGTTGAGGAACAGTTTTTGTGATTTTTTTTCTTCATATTATTTGTTGAACTCTTTACTTAACATAGAGTTAATCATGTGTATAAAGTCAATTGAAAATAGATCTCAGAAAAAGAAAGAGTGGGAATAAGAGAGGAGGAAGTTTGTCACTGTAAAACTGTGTAGTTCTGCAGACATTCTTACAGACTTACTTCTAAATACAGTTTAAAAACTTGCCATGGGACCACAAATTCCATTAAGCTGGGTGGTAAAAATGCCATCTTAAGTGTTAAAGTGATCATATTAAGTGGTAAAGTGAATATATAGATAGAATTAAATGTTAAAGAGATCATAGAAATAGGACCAAGTGCCTGGTAATAATAATGGATAGAATTAAAAAGGAGAGACTGTTCCAACAAGGGAAGCAGTCCACACAACAGATTCATAGAATGACAATCACTTTAAGTAGTACTCTGACCTCAGAATCAGCCCTTAAGTCATTCTGGTCTGACTGAAAAGCCCATGAGAGCAATTCAGGCATGGAAAGCCAAGATACTGTGGCAAAAAAAAAGTTCTATATTGAGGATCTTTGTGAGTAAGACCCTAGAGGAAAGAAGTGGCCATCAAAGAAGTATATATTTTTCTCTGAAAGGAGGAGAGAACTTCACTTTGCTTATGGCCCTATCTAAATATTGACAGAGTTTGTGGAGTAAAAAGGCTTCCTTCACCTAGGCAGCTCATGTCAAGAGCCCCTGGTGGCCAATGAGGTTATACATAAGAGTGTTAATGGTTAAATTAACAACAGGAGTCACTGGGTACTAACTCTCCATACAGGACCTATGTCCTCAATGAGTTGTATTAAGAGAGTTAACTGTGATACTTGTTCTCAGTTTTTGTGTGTGTATGTTCACGTGTGTACAAATTGCAGAAATCTTTTTAGTATATAGTCTTTTGTGTACAAATTTAATTGAAAATTAAGCTTAGTGGAGAATGGTACTCAGAAGGGGAGAGAGAGGGGAAGGAGGAGTGTGTGGGAGGGCGAGTATCATGGGAAGAATAACTATATTCTTAAATTATACATACGAATTTGTATTCCTTAAAAAATTAATTGATAAAAATAGATAAAGGCCTAAGGTTGTTTTATTATGGAAGCTTTCTTAAGTTATAATATTCTACAGTTCCTTTTCCATGTATTGGAATTCAAGTCATTCAATACATCCATCACACTTTGGTATTGTCTGGGTAGTAATTTTACTCATTTACTTTTGTTGTAAACCTCCATAATTGTGGTTGTACATTAATGGAGAATGGGACTGGGAATGGGAGAGGGAGAGGGAGGGGTGTGACTGTGGTTGGGAGGGCAGGTATAATGGGAAGAATAATTATATTCCTAAAGATGTACTTATGAAATTTGTACTCATTAAATAAAAGATTTATTTGGAAAAAAAATAAAAATAAATGAATAAACCAAGTTGCAAAACAAACAAAAAATTTTCTCTCTCTCCCTCTGGCTTTGGCTCTTGCTCTCATTCTCTCCATTACTCTGCTTTTCAAATAAACTAAAGAACTTGTAAAATAGCTTTGAAAAGAATAGTGACATTAAAAACATTGATTAATTGAAAAATAAAGCAGTCAACATAAGGTAAACAGATGTGACAATGCTGGAGTTAGCAGGCAGATTTTTGGAAAGCTATTCTAAATATGTTTAAAGCTAAAAATAAAATGAAATCTTCAGCAGTGAAAAGAAAGGGAATCTCAGTAGGAAAGAAACACAATATGTATACCAAAGTTGAACTCAAGTGTTCAACTATTGAGAAAAGAAGTCACTGGATGTGCTTAAGACTAGATTGGACTATTTTATTCCTTTTAGTATTTTTTGTTCTACTTAATACCATTGGTCGAACTCTTTAATTAACACACAATTATTCTTAGTCATTTAAATTTAACTGAAAAGTGATCCCTGTCAAATATAAGAGTGGCAATAAGAGAGGGAGGAGATGTACAGTTCAGCACATGCTCATTCAGACTTACCCGTATTGGTAGAGCCAGAAACATGCCAGAGGATTCCAATTCAATCCCATCAAGGTGGCATGTACCACTCCCATCTTACTTGGTAAAGTGATCAGTTTAATTTCATAACTGATCAAAAAGATAGGATTAAGTGTCAAAGGGATTACATAAATAAGACCAGTGTCTGCAAATAAGAATTGGTAGAATTAAAAAGGGGAAAATGATCCTACATGGGAAGCAGGATACACAGCAAACTCATAGAATGGCAAATGCCCTGAACAGCGCTCTGGCCTCAGAATCAGCCCTTGAGGCATTCAGATCTGGTTGGAAAGCCCATGAGAGTTTTGCAGGCATGGAAAGCCAAAACATTGGGCAAAGAAAAATAACCTAAATGAAAGATCTCTATGGGTGAGATCCCAGTGGAAAGAACAGGCCATCAAAGAAGGAGGTGCCTTTCTCTGAAGGGAGGAGAGAACTTCCACTTTGAAAATGGCCTTGTCTAAATAAGATCAGAGTTGGTGAACTCAAGAGGCTTCCATAGCCTTGACAGCTCATGACAAGAGCCTCGGGTGATTACTAGCGTCATAAACAAGAGGGTCAGTTGTTAAATCAACAACGGGAGTCACTGTGCACCTGTTCCCCATGTAGGACCTCTGTCCTTAATGTGTAGTACTACGCAAATTAATGGTAAAACTACTACTCAAACAGTACTCTATACTTTGTGTGTCTTTGTGGGTGCAGTCTGTTGAAATCTTTGCATAGTGTATACTAAGTTGATCTTCTGTATATAAATATAATTGAAAGTGAATTGTGATGAGGAATGGGATGGGAGAGAGAGTGAAAGATGGGATGGTTGTGGGTGGGAAGATGGTTGTGGGGAGAAAATCCACTGTAATTCAAAAGTTGTACTTTGGAAATTTATATTTATTAAATAAAAGTTGAAAAAATAAATTAAAAAAGACTAGATTGGAAATAGTGAAAGAGATTCTTACCGAAGATAAAGACTGGTCAGTGGAAAGTTTGCCAAAGAAATAACAGTGAAAAAAATAAGGAAGAAAATTATGAGAAATATTGTGACCTGTGGGACAGTATAAAAAATCTAAAAATTGAACTTTCTGGGGGCCAGTGCCATGACTCACTTGGTTGATCCTCTGCCTGTGTCACCAGCATCCCATATGGGCACCCGGTTCCAGTCCTGGATGCTCCTCTTCCAGTCCAGCTCTCTGCTGTGGCCCGGGAAGGCAGTGAAGGATGGGCTAAGTGCTTGGGCGCCTGCACTCACATGGAAGATCAGGAAGAAGCACCTGGTTCCTGGCTTCGGATTGTTGTAGTTCCTGCCGCAGTGGCCATTTGGGGAGTGAACCAATGGAATGAAGACCTTTCTCTCTGTCTCTCTCTTCGCTGTCTAACTCTATCTGTCAAATAAATAAAAAATAAAAATAAATGAAATTTAAAAAATTGAACTTTCTGAAAGAAACTCAAAGGAGTTTGGGACATAAAAACAGTTAAAGAATCTGACAAAAAGCCCCATTTTCAAGAGAAAATCAGTGAATATATTCATGTAGTCAGTAAATTCCCAGAGTTATAAGTATAAAGAAAAATAAACAAATGTTACATTTTAAGTGATTTTAATTAAAATCTATTTTTCTATTGACATATTGGAGAAAAATAACAATTTCAAAAGATGAAAAAAAAAAAAAGAATAGTGGCCAGAAGTAGCATTCATTTAAAATAAAACAAATGCATAGAAACAAAGTACTCTAACTAAAATAGAGCTAGAAAGAATTTCCTCAATATGGTAATAAAAATCTACACCTTACCTCATATTTCAGAGAGAAATACTCAATGCTTTTTCCCTAAGATTAGAAAGGTTTGGAGAACATACTATGTACTATGACACGTTACAATCTACACCTCACATCTGCATATATGCAGCCTGGAAAGCACTATAACTTGAAATGGATATTTTTCCAAAATTGTCACTCATATATTTAGTCAGGAAGCTACTCTTTTGTCACATAAAACTTTGAAATATGTTTAATATATTCACCATTAACCTAACATTAACTTAAGATTAATTTTTCTGATTGTTTTCTTTGGAAGAATAACTAACGTATTAAGTTATAATTTTTATCATTACAAGTAGGTATGCTGAGTATATGTCTATAGTTCTCAATATCATTTACACATCCATTTATTTTCATAAAACATACCATTTGTTATTCATGCTGAGTTAAATAACATTTCAAAAAGTAACTCTTTGAAACCGCCTAAAACCAGACTGGACACAATTTTGCTGATACTTCTTAGAATCAAATATCTGATATACAAGAACAATCAAATAAACGTGGCAGTAAATTTATAGACCTCTATTTTAAGTAACCTGAACTGTTATTGACTTCATGCATTACACTTTCCTACCTATACTTGCTGCACTTACCCTTACAATTGCATTGAGGTAAAACATGGCTGTATCACAGTAACTACAGTTGGTGTGTTTCTCATTAATGAATAATTATCCATTACTAATCACAAATTCACCATAATATATCTTTAGATTCAGATGATCAAGTATACATTCACCTACATTTGTGACAAAGCAAAGTATTTAAGTTTCTAGCATAAGATTGGGAAGAGGTATTAAAATCTAACTCTTCCCCACACCCCTTCTTGTTAGAAACACTTGTGAGAAGTGGATTATGCGATTTTTGAAGCACAGAAGGCTGATATCAAAGGAGAATTGTCTAGAAAAATGGTGAACTGAGAGAATAACTCAAGGGTAAGAAGTATTTAAAAGTTGTTGAAAAGTTAAGAATTCTAAAGAATGTTAGGCATAACTCTACTTTATTGTGGATTCCCTTGTAAGCCAATCTATGAGTTCTGAAAAGAAGAATAACAAGAATGATTTGTCATTTTCTTTAGTGCACTTCATCAAACAGAATTCAGCACTCTAAATGACTATAGAATATTTTGGTTATATTACTATTACATTATTTGTGTAATATACATATAAATGTACATATATATATATATATATATGAGAGAAAGAGAAGCCCCAGAAAAATCCAGAAATCTGTATAAACTCTGTAGATTTTTTTTCTCAATGTTTGTTCCTGTTTTTCTTTTTAGCTTAAGAAATCTTAATAAATTCTAATCAAATACTTTTCCAAAAGACATTTCTTTCTGAATATCTTACAAATCTGTTGTTAATCTACCATCTGCAATTACTTAATGAATTAACTAAATTCTTTACATAGACACACACATATGCACAAGCATAAACTCAGCTGATATGTCATTAGATCAGTGCATACTAGAAAACTCTGATAATGTCATTTTTTTCAATGATTTTGTTTCTAGAAAGCCCTAGGGGCATCTTCAAATGTAATAGATTGTTGTGACTATATAACAGCTTGCCCTTATTATATAAAACCTTAGAGGCATTTTACAGCTAAAATAACTTAACAGCTACTTATATACTGATTTATTCAATGCCAAAATGATTCAGTTAAGACTTCATTCATCTCATTTGGCTAGGCCAATTTCTTGGGATAAAAACAAAACTAGTCCTCTGAAATTTGTTATGAAAATTGTAAATATGCAGCAAGGTCATTTCTCCGAACAGATTTTCTTATGAATAAAACCTTAGCTGCTTAGAACTGAGACTATTACCAAGACAGTTCAGTGACCAAAACCACTAACATTGTTGGCCACCACCTTGATACATGAGGGCCTTCTTTTAGAAGAGAAAGTCAACAGCCCAAATGGCCTTCACTTTACATCTATTCAATGCAGTAGAAAAGAGAAATTTCCAAATTGATTGGTTATTTAGGATACTAACGTATAAGCTAAATGTTTGTTTTAATTAATAATATCCAAAATCACTCTATGATCAATACATTCTGCTAGTTTAATAAATATAAGAGCTATAATCTTATTTTTATTTACTAATTGTCCTAGTATACACTTTCATAATATATTGAATCTTTTACAAATTTGAAAATTTTCCATGAAAATGCTTTTCACTAGAAGTGATATTTAGTGAACTCCCTGTTTAATTAAGCATGGTTTTCTAATGGTTAATATGATATCTGTGTTATAAAGGGCCAGTGCTGTGGCATGGTGGCGCCCAAGTGTTAGTTATAGAGTTCTAGATGGGATAAACTTTATCTAAATGAGCAGTTACAAAAGTGATGCTTTTCTTGTTAGCTGTTACTGTGGATACTACTAGGAAACTTTAAACAAATAATACTATCTCCACAAAAAGAAGTTAAAAATTGCCTAAAAGAGCCGGAACAAAGAGAGTCTATATTCTATTCTAAAATAATTATTATATTATCTCAATATTCTGAAAATATAAACTTCAAAATCCAAACATTTTGAATTATTTTTATTTCACAAGTGTGATTTTTCAGTGAAACTTAAAGTAATTACTAATATACTATGCTTTTCTGGTAGTGCATCCATTTCCTTAATTTGTTAAATGCTTAAGAATATTCTTTAGCAAATAAAATGTTGGAAATATAAGGGATATAATGAAGTCAGACATAAGATTGTATATTTTCCATTTTCACTAATTTTTCATAATGTTAAGCTACAATAAAGCAATACAATTGCTGACAGAGTATAATTAGTTGATAAATAATGTATATTAATTTGATCTTCATTTGGAATGACGTACACAAATACATTGAAAGCCATTAATATTAGAAGATTCTTGGATAATGATAAAAAGGAATCACCTGAAACAAAAATATTAATAAAAAGGTAAGCAAATAATGTCATAGTTATACTATTTTAATTCACAAAGGAGTGGTTGAGGCAAGCTATTTTGGATATTTCATTTCATTGATTTTAAATTCTTTCATGATTAACATTGTCAAACATGTTACTTAATGATTTTTCCACTTTAATTATCTCTTTTCAATTATATTTCAAACATGAAAACCCATAATTTTTATTTTAGCATTTCAGATTGCAAAATAAGAAATTTGTATGCCTATCTGTACCATATTTTCAGTTTCATGAGGGAAATTAGCACATAGTAGTTGAATAGGATCATGAGATAGATTAAGTGAAAAGTACAGAAAAATAAACTATGAAGGATGGAGAATATTTACAGAAAAGATTGAAAGAAAATGGAAAATATGAATAAGTTAATAAAAGTACTATAACAACCATATACATTAAATGTCAGTACTGTACTCCTTAGAAAATATATCAGTTTTAATCAAGATGTCTTCTTCAAACTTGAGTATAAACATGACTGAATATGAAATCTTTACAACGAATTTTTACTCCAACTGACAGATTGTAAGCTTCTCCACACTGTCACATATTAAAAGAAATACTTTTAAAAATTATGACAGTTTACAGGGTACATGAAAAATGTCAATGGTTTTGCATTAATTTGAATAATAATAATTAGTGAAAATATTAATTTACACTATTTAATAAATGGCTGCGTTTTCCAATATCAAGTGACCACAATTTGATATGACTTGAAATTATTAAATAATATTCCACCCTTTTATATTTATTAAATTTTAAGCTTAAATTTATTGCTATCATCAGTTTTTCTAGCTTCCTGATCTTTTTCCTTTATTCTTCTGTTAATTGACTAACTAAATTTAAAAATTTTACTGGATGTGCTATGGACAAATTAGTCTTATATTTTAAAGAAAAATTATGATATAGGAACTTGATAGGGATTGTTACAAAGAACAACTAAAACCATGAGGGTGTTTTTAATTCTAATAGGTAAAAAAAAAATCTGTGCAGAAAAGAGACATTACATACAAAAGCAAACAAAATAGCAAACACTCAAATTATGAATAGAACTTTATTTAAAAGAGGGTTAAGCCTGTGATTATAAAGTAGATTAATGATGCTATTGCAAAAATTAGAAAAGAGAAAAGGAAAGGAAGGAGGGAGATAGGGAAGGATCATTATAGTCTTAGAAAAGTATCTATGAACCACATGAATCTGTTGTCTTTATATTAGTAAAAGTAAAATAATAAATAAAAAGAAAACATGAAAACATGTCAGTGATGTTATTGGAAAACAAAGAAACCCATTTTGGCAGGTGATACTATGGAAAGTAATTCCTAGTAGAAATTTATTTATAATGAGGATACATAAAGTGACCATTGAGACAGTTTAGAAGCATTGAATAAACACAAGTATTCTAATTTAATGTAAATACACGCAGCACAGATGTCAGAAAAGGAAAACACCACAAGACAGGCAAAACAATTCACTACATCAAAATGATCCTAATGAGTTATTGTGTAATGCATCCTGATCAGAACAGGATAAAGTCTTATCTCAAGATCTGAGAAATATCATTTGTTTCAAGGTGACAAAGACCTGGTAATTTGTAATAATTTGTCCTTTT